GACGACAAAGTACTTTCAACAAAATAATAAAATAGAGATGACGATAATGATTGGTGAAGTGAATTTTTCGTAAAAAAAATTGAATACCTAACTGAACGATTATACATATAAATTTATACTATAAATTGATTTGTCCATGGAGTTTCGTAATCATTTTTTAAAGTCTATGTGATTGTTTCAAATTTACAAATAATCTCAATAACTCTTCCATTAAAATTGTTTATAAGATATATGAATAATAATTCATTTTTTGATATGCATATTTAAATAAGAACAATAATTATAAATTAAAATTAAAATTGATCAGTTTGACTTTATTACAGCATAAATAACATAAAATTATGGTATCTCTATTTATGTTTGTAAACTTGTAACTATATACATAGTAAAGATATGAATCAGACTATAATTATCAACTAGTATTTTACTGATGAAATGATATTTAAGAGATAATAGAACGCTGACTATCAATAATGGTACAAAAATAAATTACATAGTGATTACCGAATTATAGTACTCAATAATCACAATTCTTATAATATATCATTTATTATTATTATTATTATTATTTATTTTTTTTTTTAATTCCCATTTTGTATTAACAATAATCCTAATCTAATGATAGTAAATACAAAAAACGTGCACATAAATTGAATGGTCACTTTATTTTCATAACGATAAAAAATATATACTAGTTAAATAATTGTACACCGTAAATAAAGTACGAGGCTAGCATCACTAATAATAATATTAATAATATCATGTACGTGTGTTCGAATAATTGGATCTTTTTCAGCCAACTAATAAAGTTTTTTTTTTTTTATTCATTCGCACATGTTTCTTAATATAAACTATGCAAAAAGAGCAAACATTAAACTAATCTTTAAACGAATAAGTGAAACCGATTATAAACAAAATATTTGCAAAAAAATAGTAATAATACATTTCTTTGGATGCTTTATAATAATATGCCGTTTGCTGGTCATTTTCATTCTTCATCCTGTCGCCTTAATAAGTTAGGTATACTATTGAATTAAAATGTTTTAAACGGCGGCGACATCGGAGAGGCGAACGCCTGACGTTCAAAACATTATTATCCATCACAATAATTTCGACGAGTCGTTAACATTTAATGGGTACAAATTTACGTAATCGCTGTCGTAGTCATCATTGTCGTCCAATTTCGGTTAAATATTTGACACCAATTTATACCATAACATCTACCTACGTAGCTAACTTTTAAGCTATATGTATATGGACACGTTATTAACGGTTTATTTTCTTACGAGGCAAATGAAATTAAATGTGTTCCTGCATTCGTTTTTTTTTTTTTTTTTTATCATCGAACACAAACAATCCATTGTTTTTTCGCTGTTAAATTTATAAATATTTATGACGCGTGATATTTAGAACTATTATCCCTTAAACGTTAATCTGAAAAAAACACAACACAGTGTTATTACGATTTATGGTTATAAATTATTATTATTATTATTATTATTTATATAATTTTCACTTACACACGGAAATATCGATTTTTAATTGTTGTTTTAACTATCAATAATATTGAGATAGCTTCTATACGCAAAATATATTATTTTCTAAAATATCAAAAAATCGTATCGCATGGCTATATATTTTCAAAACATTATTTTCCATGCTCAATATTATTGCCATCGGTGTAACACCAAACATACTAAAATACACAAACTTAGAATTAGTAATTATTGTCTGTTATTAAATTTTATCACCAAATATAAAAACATAGTTTTTGCAACTCTAATTTTGTTTTTGATATTAAAACATTGATGATACAACGCATTTTGTAACAAAAGTGTAGAAAAGTTTTTACACTGATCGTTAAATTCGAAAAAAATAATAATAATGAAAATAATACTTTTATAATAAAGCCTTCAGTTTACAAACTTGATTAGTTCTTTTCTTAAAAGATTTTGTCCTGTTTATAATAATATTATGTTTGTGTAAATTATTTTCGTATGATGTATTTACTATTATCATTGTACTCAAGTATGTGAGAGCATGTGTTTATGTTTATTTTATAAACGAAATTCGAAAAACAAATGGCGAAAAAAGACTTAAGTAATTTCAACGTTCGTACGATGTTTTTCTGTACAGTGAATAGTGTCAAACATTTAATCGACGATGGTGGTGGCAACCCGACGACAATGTCTTACGACACAGGCAAAACACCCACCGGCGGCCGTGTCATGTCCTATTGTTCGCTCGTTCGGTCCGAGTAATATTATGGAATTGTATACAACAATAATAATAACAACAATATAATGCCAAAAATCTCTTTCCTAGCACGCGTTTCTGACGTACGCACACACAAACACACGAAAAAAATGATAAATGGGATGACGCTAATATACCATTTATATTATATGTATTATTATTTCGGCCGCATTTAACGTATTTTGTGCTTGCACACGCTTACTGATAATGAATACGAAAAACTGCATATTTCAAGTCGGCGAGCCACCGATAAACGACGACGACTTCGATGAAAACTATTTAAGTAGGTACCTAGTATATAAATGTATAATATACGATAATGTAGCAAGAAGACTTCGTCGTCGTCATCGTTCAGCACGCGCAACCGTTTTTGAAATGAATATTCAATAATATTATTATAACATGACAACAAATGTCGAAAACCATAATAGGCCCACGGGCATCTACAGATCGGTGGGCGGTATTTTTTTTTACTTTTTTTTTTTGTCCGTTTAAACGAAAAATCACAGTTTGTCATCCGAACACACGCTCGCCACAAACATTGTACAAAATATACAAAATACACGCATCCACATCATATTATATTATTTATACCGACACCACCGCAAAGGACCAGTATAATAATAATAATAGTACGCACGCACGTACGCGCCGTTTTGTGTGTGTATATTTATGTATATATATATATATATATATATATACGTTTCATTATTCTGCTTCGACTTTTTATTATTATTATTTTTATATATATTTTTTTTTTTTTTGTCAGCCACTATTTATCACGTCTGACACGTCGTCGTTTTTATTCGTTAGTCATTTATTCCCGAGCGACGCGCACAGTCAAACCGTTTTGGTGTGTATCGTAGGTGCGTGCGTGCGTACGCGTTACACTTTTTGTGCTTTTTGAGTATACGCATGTTAACGGGGCCAAAACGTGTGTGAAATGACTCGAGCCGCCGACAAATCACCGAACGATTTATTCGAATAATAACCAGGACACGCAACGCGGATACGGAAGTATATTATTTATATTATACAAAAAAAATAACCTAACCTAACCATAAATACACCACGCGAGAAATATCGTTCGTATCACATACTTTACAATATATACATATACATATATACATATTTATATTTTATTGCACAGACACTTGTGCGGAAATCAAAAATAGCGCTTAGGTATCTATATACGTATAAATATCCTATGTGCGAACATCGATGCATCGGAGTTCTTCGTTTCAATATTTCTAAGTTCCGTTCGAGTCGTTTTCACTCGCCACACAATTCCCGGTAATTTATTATAAAGTACGTACACCGTGTGTGAGATTCAAGACGTTATTATGATAAAATATACGTAATATCATGTTAAGGGTAAATCCCGGTATTGCATAAATAAGTCTACATTGTGCCGATAAAATCGACCTAAAATATTTTTCTGAAGATCTATTATAGTAAAAAGTAGTTTGGCAACCTCTTCCGATTGAATACATTACCCATCAAAAAGTAATTTTAAACAATGAGTAATGATTTATATTTTTAGCTGATCAGAATATTTAAGATAAAAGAACGTCGTACCCATACATTGTGTTGTTTATGTGTGTTATGTATATTTTTATTTTAAAATTAGTAATAACACAAGTACTTAAATTAATTATTTTAAAATTTATATGATTTGTTTTAAAACAAAAAATTAAAGATAAAATACTGCTCAAGCGCAGCTTATACTTTCCAATATGAATTCGATCATAAGTAACATAATAAATTATAGTTGGAATCTAAAACACAGATTTTCTATGTTATGCGTGTATTTAACAAATACAACACATCCAAATACAGATTTCGTATAATATGAAGATTTGGATAAATAGTGTATTAATCATATTATTAATACATTTTATTTTCATTTTTTAAAGATTTTTTAACTTTGATAAATGTTAACAACTCGTAATATGAATTTGAAATTATATGTTATACTTTATTATAATAATATATAAGTACAAAGAAAATAAAATTTCACTTGTTAAATTATAAACCAATGACATCTATTTAGTATTATTTATTACATGATAATCATTGTAGGTATATTAGAAACCTCATGACTTTATATACAATTTTTAAATCGTATTTTTGCAAACAGATAATTCATTTAATACTGCATGATAGCAGAACATATTTTTTATTTTTTGTTAAATTGTAATACAGTATTTTGTTGTTTAATTATTCCTACTTGTTTTTTTTTTAAACTTTTAATATAACACGTTATAATTTTGTAAAAAATTCTTGAGGTTTTTACATCCAATAAAATAAAATAAGATAGAAATAACAAAATATATATGTTTAACTGAAAATTATAATTTTTATGTACATGAAATTGTTAAAAACATTTGATTGCCTTCCTCAATGTTAAAATATAAAAATATTATTACCTAACTTGCCTATACCTAATACGAATTATTAATATTACCATTACTTAGACGATTAGAGTTGGTTATTATCGAATAGAAAAACTATGTGTATCTGCTGCAGTTGTAGACTTGAAAACCATAGGCTAATATTACTATGCATACTTTTCAAACAAAACTAATTAGATAGGTACACTGTTAGTTTATTTTATCAGTATTAGTAAATGAGCTAACAATAAACATATCTATTCGTGTAATCAAAAATTATTTAAGATAAACAACACTGTTTTACAAGAATCAGAGAATCAAGACTTTAACTTTTTGTTTTTATTGTATCAGTGGCTGGCCCGCCAGACTCCGAGGATCCGTTTGACGGAAATAGAGATGATCCGGTATTTATGGATACAAACGAAGGCACTAGTAGCACACAGGACTCAGATCAAAATTCGAGTAAGTACTATGAGATTTGTTAAGCTTATGAATTGAGAAAAATGTAAAAATGATTAATTTGAAAAAACCAATTAACAACTATGAAAATTTAGCACGTATATAATATAACATAAGACATAGAAAAGCAATAGTCTATGTTGATATTAAAAGCTTTATCGATTTAACTAAAACTAATTTTGTATTGTATTCCTTAATAATTATATAGTTATTAAAACAACCTTGAATATTTACAAATCATTAATAATTTATACTACCTATAATTATATATATATCTAATTTCAAATCGTTTCTGTGAAAAAAAATAAAATATTTTTTATTAAACTACTGATATTTAATAAATAAAAAATAATTTGTTATACTCTTCATTTAAATATTTTTAAATATTATTCATTCTAACAGACATAGTTTTGTTTAATTTTTGGTCATTAATAATATATATTATTATAACATAAGTACTACCATATCCAGTAAATACTTATTTCGATACTTAACTTTTAAATTGTGCCATTACTTTTGTTAAATAGAATAAATTAAACCCCCTGAAAATCTATAACAAAACTTCAAAATTAAATTGCAATCGCTAAATACACCTAATACTTATAAAGGACTCGATATTATGTTTTTAATAGAATATACTAAGTTTGCTTAAATAATTTGATATACAATTTTATGATTGTAAATTTTAACTATTAATAATTTGGACTTATCATAATTTTGACTTACATAAATCTTAACGTTACATAATAATTATTACTGATAATAATAGTATGAGTATGGAATCTTTTAACTTATGTATCCTTTATTTTCGAATGAACAATATTGATATGTTTGATAAACTCTCAATTAGAATAAAAAATAATAATAATAATAATAATAAATAATTTAATAATTTGTGTACCTAAAATACAATATAGATTTGTGTAAACTTTCATTAAAATATATTTAGAACACTTCATACATTTAATTTATCGCTGTACTTAATAGTATATTCAATAAATGAAATGAAATAAGAATATATTTTATAAATCTTTTAAGGAAATTTATTTTTCTAAAAAAAAAAAAAAAACAAATTATAGTACAGATGGAATATTAAAATATCATTAAATAACTATCAAAACGAAACAAAAACGATCGCTGTCACCGTAATTGACATTTTATTATTGCACGATTCGTTGGAACTAACTTTATTATTTTTCGTATTTATAAACTATAAACTTCCTTCTTTGAAAGTCAAATATTTTAGTTTCGTAGAATTAAAAAAATATAACAATTGTATTATCAATCAGCGATCTTATCTTGATTGAATATATAGTTTATACGTAGTAAAATAAGACGTTGAAAGTTCAATAACTAGGAAAAGTGGTATACAATTTTAATAAAAACTATTTCTCGAGACATGAATTTCCATACATAATGTTTATTCATGCAATCGTATATTTTTTTCAATAAATCAATTGAAATATTTCATGACAGTTTATTTTTTATGAACTGGATCTTTTTGTTTTATTTGAAAATATTAATTATAAACAATTCTAGTGAAAATATTTTATGGAAAAATCATAAAAATTTAAAATTTAAAACTTATTATTGCCAGACAAAATATCGCTAATAACTTAAAATTATTAAACATTATATTTAAAATCAAATCATTTATTTTATTTTAATTTACTAGATAATTAACGCAATATAAATTTTACAAATTCTTATTTATATTATCAATATAACTGGTGATAGAAATACATTACAAATTATTACATGAGATAATGGTCATTTAAAAAAAGGTAAACGACGTCTTAAAAATGTTCAGCTTTATTTTTTAATTAAATTATTTTGAAACACTATTAATTTAGATCCTTTCTGCACGGCTATGAGCAATATAATAGTTGACCAAGGTACGAACAATTATACATTATTTTAAATTATCGAAATTATCTTAGCGTATTAATATTATTACCTAATAAACACGCATTAAGCTTACAAATATCAGGCGAATGATTCATAAATATGCAATAAATAAAATATTATTATTTACTATTATCCAGAGAAAAAAATAAATGTCAATACACTTTTTACTGGAGTTTTATTCTTACAACGAATAATAAAATATATACTTACTAGTCACTACAGTTGTCTGTGTTTAGGACTTAATGTTTTGCGGTTTTATAGTTATAAGTTATAAACATTTAAAATTATGTTTAAAAAAATATTTTATGGTCTCTCTAATGTGTATACACATGAGCATACTAACTAATAGCGTACAAAGTAACAATAAAATATCAAATAAACTGTAAAATGGAACTTTGAATTTAAATATATTTATAATATGTTCGTATTATCGACATATCAATGCAGTTTAACGATAACAATACACGCCATAACAAACCTTAAGTTATTTGAACACTGAAACACTACAGTGGAAAAAATTTCGCGTTAACAGTAAAATTTCAAATATTTAACATTTCTTTCGATACCTTTTGCTATTGTCGACAAGCGTGTATTTGCACTTCGTATATGTCAAGTTTTTAAAAATCTGGAGACGTACAGTATTTGAAATAATGCGAAAAACATGAGATCTTGATCGGTGACAACAGATAATACGTTTCCGTGTCTGGGAAGCTCGGCCCCAACAAGATATCGAATACACTGCAAAATGTCGAACGAGACATATTGCAGGCGTCTATTAATTGGGAGATAACAGTTTAAATACAGAGTGAGTCACCCTACACACTTGTTCATCCTAATTCCTCTATAAATGAGCGTTTATTTAAACGCATTTGTTTCTGGAACTTTTAAGTGTTCTTGGAAAGAATAAAATATATTTCAATATTCTACATCATTTACATAGCTTTTGCTATGAAGATACATAATTCTTGATTTAAAGTGACAACTTTTAATTTTACCTAACCTGTTAATGAAATTATTTTTATTTTTTTTTTTTGAAAATTAGTATGAAAGACAATAGTGACTGTCCTTAATTTAAAATATAAACAGACATAATATTAAGTAAATTTTCGATTTAGACATAAAAAAAAATCATCTGCTTAAATGGATTATACTCAGTTGTTTTTAAACAGAACTGTTTAGGGCGTTTAGGCAAATTATGTTGGCGACTTTAATGATTTTCAGTGTGCGACAACTGACAAGTAAATCAACAGTAGAATAAATGGGTCAAATTCAAACATTTTATATCCAGTATATGTGAATAGTTTTTTTTTTTAAATTATTCGTTGCCAATTCGAATGTAGTATAATATATTAAAGTCACTATTTTTAAAAACACAAAGCGATATTTTTATTAAAAAAAGTTATATTTTCTGAAAAACTGTAAGATTAAAGTTTAAAATTTTAATTATCTTAAAGAAACTATTTACGTAATAATAAAAATACACAATTTATTTTTTTATGTTAATTTAAATTTTTTTGAAAAAAAACAAATTCATTAAAAAATTTTAAGACTAGAACACAGCATAGTAAAAGTTTTTTTAATCAAAATTCATTTTTTAACATTTTCAATTTGTTTAATCAAAAATCTATAGTTTTAGCAATCAATTATAGACATAAATATTATCTTTTTAAACGATGACAATTTACAGTAAAAATCAGTGGTTTACTATTGTAAAATAAAAAAATTTATATTGTCACTAGATTAATGCTTTTCGAGTGGCATGAAAAAATTTGAGTTTTATAAAATATGGTCTTTAAGTTGGTTTAGTTAAAAGTAAAAATTAAAGGTTAAATAAATGAAATTATAAGACGTGAAAATGAGGATGAGCATTGATCATGTTTGGCGGATCTCCCTGTATACACGTCGAGTGAACTTCGAAAGTATATAATGTATATTACAAAACTTTGAGGGACATCGTTCGAATTACTCACGCATCCCACCACCATTTGCCTATCGTATTCTCACATAGAGTTTGTGTCGACATTGTCGATTGGTCAAACCGATTCGTTTCAACAGTCATGGTTTAATATAGTGTACTCATCCGAGCGTGCACATTAATGCGCATTTAGAGCGAAAAGCAACATGCGAATAAGTATATGTATATCCATATTATACTTAATATTTATTACATTTAAATATTTAATATATTTACCACTAACCAAAACATCCTTGCCAGGATAGTCACGTGGTTTTTGTTTTCATACTTTGTTTATCGCTGACAACGCGAAGTATAGTGCAATTATATATGAAAGTAATATGCTAATCTGGTCATTTTCTAAAATTGAAGTAAATAAAATCTTAATGTATAATTATACAGAAAAACTTCTCTATAATAGAATTACTTAGGACCAATAAGTATATTTTTGTTATAGAAAAGTCAATTTCATTACTGTATTTGAGCATTTTGAAATGAGACTATTGTCATTTTACATAATAAGAAAGATTCCGTTCTATAGAGGCACCTTTATAGTGTGTTTTTATTGTATATGGTAGAGAATTAAATGAACAATGAATAAATATAAGTTTTTAATTTATAATACACATGCCTTAACGATATTTTGCACTGAAAATGTATTTATAGTCTAACCGTATTGATATAATACACTAATTTGAAAAAAATATTTATTTTATTTTCCTAATAGTCATACTGGTCAACAGTTATTGTCTTGAAAATATTAAATTTATCTTCGTTAGTTTTTTTCTCTGTTTCATTTTATCTAATATGTTACTACTCTTACTCCGAATTCATAGGTTAATATATTCAAAAAAATCTGATAACTCTTACAATTCAATAAAAAACACTTTAATATCAAAAAACGTTAATAAAAGTGAAAGTGGAAAAGCAGACAAGCAAGCAACTAATCTGTTGTTTAGTATATATCATGTGCTGCGCCCGTTGCTATTAAAATCACTATTAGGGAAATTTAAATTCAATGATACATCATTATATGTTACGAAAAAAAATTCTGAGCGAACAGTTAACCTATACATCTGCACAGTAATATTCATGATATTTTTTTTTGATTGTTGACTACATTTTATATTTAAACCATTAAAAAATGTAATGTAGATTTACAATAATTTTATTTTAATTCTTGAAAAGAAAACTTATAAGAAACATTGTATTATATTTTTAAACTTTCGATAAAAAAAAAAATAATGAATTTTTATCAACATTTTAAATTTACTCAATTTTAAAAAGAATAATTGTAAATATCTATCTCTATACCTACGTTTTAATTTTTGTAAGAAATACTTGTGAGGAATCTTTTATTGAAATTTCAAGTTTTTTTATTCACAATCGAAAACTGCATGATACATAAATCTCATAAAAATTAAAAAAAGAAGAATTTTAAATGCATATAATTAGTTTAAAATGAGCCAAAATATTTAAACTTATTTGATTCCAAATGTTATTTCTAAGTATCTTACTTAGAAAGTAAATTTACTCGTTTTAAAATTATGAATCTGTGTTATCAAAAACTAGTTTTTCATAAAATTTCTTATTTATTTTTTTGTAATTTTGGTATAAGATTTTTTCCCAATTATTTTGAAAAGTACCATGAAATGTTCACTTTTGACTTTCCAATGGTACGACTACACCCAATTTTCTACAAAAAAATTCTCTATAAATTTATAATTGAATCATTTTTAGTATATAAAAAATATTTTTTTCAAATACAAAAAAATATAAATAAAAATATATCTTATAATAATTTTAATCATTTAATACCTAAAATAAAATAAATTATAATTTAAACGAATAATACATTTTAATTTGGGTAATACCAAATATTGACATTGAGTACCTATATTATATAACAGATATATATTATCGTTAGATAAGAAAATTAATGTGTAACTACTAACTACCTACTTTGAAAGTTTGAAATTCCATAAGTTAAATTGAATAACAAGAAAATCAAATTTTAATTTTACTAAATATATGTAAACGATGTTTATTACATTGCTTTTTGATATGCAGTATAAGTTCCTAGAATATTAGCCGATTAGATTTGTGTATATGATGTAAAATCTTATATCAAAGAAAACTAGTTGAAAATTTCAAAATTCATTGTTGCCAAAGTATTAAACCAATTACAATTTCATAAAATCCAATTAATATAATTATAGCACAGTATTAAATTATAATTTAATCATTTGCTTATGTTAGATACAAATGAAAGACAATAACTGATTGTAGTATACTAATGCAAGTGACAGGTAATAATCGCATATTATAATAAACAAAACCCGTATTGTTATAATAATCGCAATGAGTAGTTCTAAAACGAATAGTGTATTCACGTGTGAGAGAGTTGTAGAATTTAATACTTATACTCGAATTTAGGATAAAAATAAATAAAATCTTACACTTAAGGACTTTCCAAAAAAAAAAAAAAAAAAACAGTCTATTGATTTTAAAGTAGCACTGATTTTTACAAACAACATATTATTATACCTAGTACATACAATTAAAATTATAACAAAACAACTCAAATCTCTAGAACTTGATAAAATTATGTACTGATTTTATTAAGTTTTACTTTTATAATTTTATTTTATATCAACAATTATAGGCATGAATATACTTAAAGATAGTTTGATACGATTTGGTATGAATAAATTAGGTATTGATCAAAATAATAATTTTAATCAAATAGATGTGTATCACATGAGTATTAGCTTTATTAGATATTTAAATAGATTGGATTATTGAATTCACTTATAATAAAAATATAATATAAAAATTTTTTATATATCTGAGTACAATAAAATTTTAGATACTTGGAGCATTTTATCTTAGAACAAACTAAAATAATTTATATTTATATTTATATTAGATCCGTCATTCTGAGTGTTCTTAAACCCATTTGAGTGTAGTTATTTTCCTTAAAATTTCAAAATAAAGTAAAAAAAAATTCCTTTTAGGAAATATTTTTTCCTAAATAACTGACAAATAAGTAAAACAACATTCAGAGTTTTTATTATTAATTTCAAAGATAAGTCAAATGTATTGCTTATTGAATATTACAATCAAAACATCAGAAACTTTAAACATAATTAACTAAATGTGTGTATGATCAAACGATTTATATACCAGCTCATTTAATGTATAGCAACTAATGAACGATCATTTAGTTAACTAAAATAGTTAACAATAATTATCAAGACTTTACAACATATGTTGTTTGTTTGTAAAATATGATGTTTCTAAATTGTAATATAACTATTATGATAAAATGTATAGAGTAAATTATCTCATTCAAAAAATGTTATGACTAAAAGAAGAAAATATTTTTATAAAAATTGTATGAACTGTTTTATATGTAATTACTTTTTTGTTTGGAGATAAATTATTTTTTTTTTTCTAATAATTTACTGAAAAAAACTATTTTTAATAATTATTATTCAGGGCATGCAATACCTATTTTCTTTTAATTTTAACTTCAGAATAAATTGTATTAAATTATTAACTTATAACTTTATATAATTTTTAGATTATAAAAAATTTGTCCTTTAACATTGGTGTCATCAATTTCACCTACGCAAAGACTCCTTTGCTCCTCTTGGATGAATGATTATTCAGTTTTGCTATAAATAAAGCAAATGCAGTATAAATTAAAAATAGAAACTTTAAGTTTAGATGGTATTTTGTATTTTATTCATACCGTCTTTTAATCCTATAAGTTATATTATTAAACTAATCAATTAATAATAAACTTATTATATTTTCATAAACTTTTGTATGAATTCATAAATTTAAGTAATTATTTTACATGAAATCAATCATTATTAACTTTAAGAGAATATCACGTGTATTTTATCCATCATACAAATATATAACATGGCATACCAAATTATCGTACAGCAATTTCAACATTAAGTTGTTTGTTTAAATATAAAATTGAATTAACTGTATTTCAAACTTAATGGTAAGAAAATTATCTATATTTATTCAATATTGGTTTTCCAATGTTTTGATTTTAAAGTAAGATACATGCATTTTCAAATATTACTATTTAAAAATACTTAAAAAATCCTTCTTTAAAGTTAAAATATTAATAAAGTTTAACGCCAAAAGTAGATTATTTGCGTATCTTTAAATTTAATGGTTAGTCAAAAAATAAAACAAAAAACACGATATTAAAACTATGGAACTCAAAAATATTGTACTAGTTCATTATTATTCGAATGCTTTGTGGTGTCTAAATCAACGTTTTTGAACCAATATTTAATTTTAATTTTTAAGCAAGTAACCTTTCTCATGTAGCAATTTGAACTGTTCTATTAAACTTAAAACACAATAAATAAGTTGGATGTACAAGCCCATATTCATTTAGAAATCGTATTTTGTAAACACAACTATTTTATTAAACTTAAATTAATATTATATTTCTTATATTTAGGGCAACATCGCTGTCATTTTATAATTCGATATTCTTCATTCCATATTTAAAAAATATTGACTGAAAAATGTTTCATGATAACATAAATATTACACAAATTGGCTTTGATTACAATTATTATTAAGTTAATAAATAATAACTACGTGTTCTTATTTAAACAATTAACTGAAAAACTGTATGCCCTAATATCAAATGTATTCTAAATTGTATTAATACAATTTTTTCTATAAATAATTACTCTTAAAATAATAGCTAAATATGTAAATTTCAAAATATTTATAAAATTATGGATTGTAAAACCTAGCACTTGAAATTTTAATATAAATTTTCTTTTAAATTTTAACAAAATTAGATATTCAAACGAAATTAAAAACATTGTTCTTTGAACACTTGTAGTTATTTTCTTGTAATTATTAAATTATTATGTTACTTTGATATATTTGAAACATTCAACTATTACTTTTATTATAATTTTTAACATGTAATAAAGTTTTACTGTAATTATCGTACAACTCATATTAATATAAAAATAAATAAATAACAACTTACTTCATAAATATATAAATATCCCAATATTTTTCAAAATTTGATACTATAGGTAAATGTAGGTTAACGAACTGTTTTTACTCAGAACAGTTTTGAGTATTAATTTAAAATCAGATATGTCCGTCATAGGGACTTTTGACTAACGATGAGAAACATTTTAAATCTTCTATACGGCTGAGCAATTTCCCTGTTTTCTTAATATATTACTAAGGAAAAAACCTCATAATATAAGTATATTTATAAATTTATAGGACAAGGTGCATTGACAATTGTACGCCGAAGCAGCCAGAAGAAAAGTACTTATTCGGACGAATATAGTATGGCTTTGTCCAGAGAAAATGAATCGATGTTAGACGAAGTAGATCTCAGCCTTGACGGAATGCCATCATTTGATTCGTCAGAAGCAGTCGATAAAGCAGCACTCAGGTAATTATCAATCGAGAATTATTAATTTATCTAATTGTTACATTTCATCACGTTATTAAATATCTCGTTAAAATAATATTTTGTACGAACAAAGTAATACATTGTTGAGCTAGAAGACACAATGTCGTAGTAAATTGAGCATCATAACTTTGATTGTATAAAATTAAAATTATAAAAACATATTTCCATTTGATAAATTTTGCAACTTTAAAGAGTTTCAATTTTTACTATCAGTTCATTATGTATTGACTGGCGTTGCTTCTCATATAAGATATAAGAAACTATTGTTCTGTTTGTATTTCAAAATCTCAAACCACATACTTGTATATTAAGCTCTCAATATTATCTGTAATTATCGTCACGTAAGATTATGTAATCTATAAAATAATTATGGCTTAAAGGCTTACAAAAATAATTAAATAATTTAAGTACTCATAAATTTAATAACGGATAAATCGGTTTTAACTTTTTAAGATATTGTTAAGTACTTTATTTGTAATTTTTAGATTGTATGATTACATTTTTACAAGCATACAAAACATAGTACCATGAATTATTATTAACACTTGTGCTGTTGAATCGTGTATAGTATAGTGTTCTATAAAAGTGTGTGCAGTGTTTAAATATAATATTAAATTAAAATTTAAGAGCAATATTTAAAAATTAAATAAAGTATATGGAAAAAAATTTAATTAGTACATAATATTTCATTACAACTAGGTATTATAAATAAGAATTTAATTAATTAATTTACAATTTTAGATTACGTTTACTAAGCAGAGCGATCTACATGTATAGTCGGGTGATATTACCATAATGCTAAAATATATAACTAAAGTACAATAATATAATATATAAACTCTTATTTTCTCAAATTTATTTTTTACGTGATTTTAAGTCATACTTAACAATTGTTTAGAAAATATTGTTAAATAAAATCATTCAAAAAAGTATGAAACTTAAAAAATTTTAATAATAAAAACTTGTCACTAACAAATTTGCATTTTTTATGTCCTTAAATTATGTAAGACAAAATATTTCCAAAAATATTAATACTATATTAAAAAAAAAAAAAATAATGTTCATCTTTGAAATAACCAATTTGTATACATTTTGCTCTTAATAGGGTCTTTAACTATAAATACAATATTTGAATTATTTTTTACAGCAATCGACGAATCAAATTACTTATTATTATTATTTTATTATGACATGTTCACAATGATATGGTAATTATTTTTATTCAAAAGCAACAAATACATTTTCGTATAAAATAATAGATATAATTTCTTGTTACTATAATAAAAAATAAATTAATTGTTAATACTTTCATACTTAAGAATTTTTTTTAATATCATAAAACTTATTTACTTATTTGATAACTATGATGTCAAGTCCTCTCTCTAAGTGTATTTTAAAGAACGAAATTTTACTTAAACTATGTTATATGACTTAATTTGTAAAACATATTTCAAGTGGTCAAATATTTAAGTGTTCTGTTATTCTATTAAATACCATGTTATGTACTTGACATGACATTGACATATTTGTAGTCTTAAAGATATTGTTAAGTATTCTCTTTTTCTGAATTTCTGAATTTCGATAGTATTTTGATTAAATTACGCGTTTAATATATATATATATATATATATGTGTGAAACAAAACAAATATATTTATTCAATATTATTCACAATTATTATTATTCATTAATCATTATATTTTTTATGTTACCAAAATCTGTAAAACTTTCTGACCATCGCTAATATCCATTAACGTGAGATCTAACTGAAGGTAAACGAGGAAAAAGACCTTTTCATTCCCTTATCTAACATTAGACAACACAAAGAATACTTCAAACTAGTAACTACCCATTACTTAGAGTCCATGGATAAAATCTAACTTTAGTTCTAGTCAAAATATTACTAAGAATGGAGAGATATTTTTGAATATACGAGTACTATACAAGTTTTTCTTTGCTATTAAAATGTATATTTCTCAACACTGTATAATAATGTTCAATCAATAATTTATTTACCTAACTATAAGAATTATATTTTAAAATATTATAAAATATTGTATAATATTAATTGTGAAAAACATTTTTTTATTAACCTATACTATTGAACTAAAAAATATGAAATATCTTAAAATAAATAAACTAAAATTAGTTTTAAATCTTTTTTTTAAACCACTTTAACCTTACATTAGTCATATTACTGTATTTCTTTTTTTTACATTTAATTTAAATACAATTGTATGTTTAATTTTAGATTGCGTTGTCTGTTGCGCCACTTGAGAAAAGGAGAAATATCTGCCGAAGTATTACACAAAAATTTATTTTTCGCTGCTAAAGTATTGGAATCAGCATTTATGGACGAGGAACAAATGTAAGAATTTAGTATTATATAATTTACATGTTTATTAATTTATAACATGCCGAAAAAATTAACTATTATTTTAATCTGCATGGGAATGTTTGTGTGTACCAATAAAACGTGAAAAAATGTGATAATCAAATCGATGGTAAGCTCAATATAAGTTATGCACCATCATAGATTATCAGATCATTTTTTACTATAAAAATTAATTAAGTCTCATTGAATATTCATATAAACTATTTTTATCATTTTTCATTTTCATTTTTTTTTTTTTTTTTTTTATGTTCATCAAGCTACTGATGGTTAGACAATTGTACGACGTACCATATTAAAATTTTATGCACGTCGTTCGTGATATTTAACCATTGCTACATATCAAAACCACATTAAATAAATCAAATATTTTTATGATCCAATAATAAAACACATAAAACGTATCATAGACTAAACGAAGTATTGTGCATGGTAAAATAACAAAAAGTTATAATGTACCTATTTATCTTGAAAATTTTTTAAGCTTAACGCTATTTTTGAGCAATATTGAATCATGTAAGCATGCAAATATGTTAAAATATTAATTCAAAATACAATTAATAAAATACAAAATAATATTTTAAGAAAAATAAAAATACACTTTTATCAAATTAAGCTTTAATTTTATGAACATATTCCAATAAATTATTTTCTAAATTTTACTCGGTTAAATTATGTTTATCCATAAAATATATTTGTTACTGATCATACCAATGTACTATAAAAATTTTCCATTAACACTTCTCCACAAATAATAATTATCATCTAACTTACAAAACTAATATTTAGCTATATCAACTAGTATTTACAATGAAAACTTATTAAAAATGTGGTTTTGATAAGTAAGCAACAGATTTCTATTTACGTGAATGCCACTTTTATGGACTGATGTTGTGGTGAATCTATGCTTTGTTTTTTCTGCATGTTCTATTTTTATTTAGCTCAGTTACTAATTAACTGATCATCAGGAGCAATTTCAATTTTCAATATGATATACGATAGAGTTTTTTTTTTTTTTTTTAATATAATATGCACAAACAATGTATATAAAATGTTATTATAATAATATTTTATCTTGAATACTTATATGAAATTCAAACTGGGTGCCAGTTAACTATTTTAAAAAAATTAAATTAAGTCATCCTAATTAAACTTAACTAAGTTAAGTTAGAGTTATTTTAAAATATAAATGAAATTTAATTACAAAGTTAAACATTTTTAGGGAAACATTTACCCAGTCCAATTAAAAGTTTCTAGTAAGTTTTTTTTAATTATTCACACTGATATTTTAAACTAACTGTAAAATAGTTGAGTTTTTTTTTATACCTTTACAATAAGCAGTGAGATGTCGGTATTTTTAATCATCTATAATGACCGCTAACACTAAAAAACCACTCTACTTGAGTAATTGGCATTATTATAATATCATATTTTAAAAATATATATAAGTGATTACCGTTCTGTAGAACGGCAGGTATTGAGTAGATCACTATAATGGATGTGCTAAATTTTAATTCAATTTGATATACATATAATTGTATGCGTAAAAGGATTCTGAACGAAGATTTGTTAGCTTATACCACGAACTTTATTTCATGAAATTTATTTTTTTTATTTTGCTATTAAGAAAAGTAATTTATTTAGCTATTAATAAGTAGGTTAAATTTATTTTTGCCAAAAATATTGCATTTGAAAATATCATTGTGCTTATAAAATATATTAGTACACATGAAAGTTTTATGTCTCCTTGAATAATATTTTTAACTATAACAAAATAGATAATAAATCAACATAATTTAAATATTATGTTATTTCGTTCAAATTTAAACTTAAAATGTTAAAAAAAATATACATATTAATTTTTTTTTTTTTTTTTGACTTAATAAAACAATTTTTCATTAACTTTCATAATAATAAAAATGAAAAATGAAAAATTTCTAAGTCTATAAATAACTCAAAAAAAGTTTTTAAAATTTTTTTTATAATGTATACAAAATGAGCATATTAAAATTTACTGAAAATTTCAATTATCTACTGCTTAATTATTTATTTTTATAATTTTTTTAGTTGTTTTACTTGTTTAAATAACAGCATACACAAAAATTAAAATTCGAACATGTAATTTACGAGTTAAAAGTAAGTATTAAAGTTAAGTAAGCAGAGTAATAGACCAGCTACCTTTTTACTCTGATCATATTAACTTTAAATACTTACAACTCATTAACTACGTGTCTAATTTTTATGTATTAAAATACTCCAAAAATATTCTGCTTCAGAATATTAAATTTAAAATACATATTGTCATTCAAAAAAGTAAAAAAACTTAAAAATATAATTTTTTCTTGAATAATATTGTTTTAGTTCAACTAAAAATTATGTAAAAAAAATTTTATCAAAAACAGTAATTATATATTTTTGAAATAATGAGTGTAGTTTATATAAAAAAAAAATTTTACCTATTCATAAACAATAAAACACTTCATTATTGAATCAATGCATTAATTATTCTACATAGAACTTAAAATGCTTTATCTTCCTTTTTTAATTACAATAAAATAAATTTTAGAATTAACTCAATTATAGAAAAATAATATAGTTAAAATCAGTTATAACGAAAAATAATTAAGATGTTAACTGAGTTATTTTTAAAGAAGTATTATCTTAACTACTTAAGTTAAAATTCGTTGAATATATTAACTGATAACTTTAAACTATTTAACTAGTAACTGCCCAGTTTTAATGACAGTTGTTTACGATTACGATTCTGTTCGCTCAACAATATTATGCCCTATATTCAGCACGCACGACATGCGTGTAGCAATATTACATACCCAGTTCGCCGTATTCATCTCGAAACATAAACATTGATTAGGTATATTAAATGTTCAATTATTGCTCAATCTAAACGAGACGTTTCCTCATACGATTTTCAAACAACAGCTAAATAATGTATTAACAATAAAACTAAAATATTATCGTTGACTTATTTTCTTATTTCAAAAACTGTAATACTATTTATTGAAAGGGAATAATTTTTATTTTTATACCGAAGATCTATTTAACAACCTCACTGTTTCCTTCACTTAGTGCAATTATTATCATTGTATTGAATTTCAAATTTACGATTACATAAATAATAAATTCATCACTTATGAAATATAATTTTGTTGCTGTTTAAACATTGTTTTGTTGTAATATACTGCAAACTTTGCGACAAAAAATGCTTTTATCAGCAAAATACATTACGTTTCAATAATATTATAAATAATTCACAACTGTTTCTTCTTTTTTTTTTTAATTTGAATATGCAAGGTAATTAATTTCTACGGATTAAAAATAAGTAAGAACTTTCCATGAAATGCTCGGAAGCTTGATCTAAATGAGTCTTTTCTCTTCCTTTTCTTTTTTCGCACCACAATGTTATTCAGTTGAATGTCTAAGTGATTTTTTACTCAAATTCATATCACTTAAAATCCGTTTAACTTATTAAAAAAAAATACTTAGACTATTAAGTTAATTGATTATTATAAACAATAGTTTTCATTTAAAAATAAAGGCAAGTTATTTGTTTTAATAATAAAATATATTTAAATTGCCTTGTGAAATTTGTACTCATTTTATTCTGTGTACTATACAATATTTTCTTTTTATGTGACTGAATTGATTTAAATTATACATTTCAGTATTCAACGAAAATTTTTATAAATAAGATTTATATACGAATATATTCATACATACATACATCGTGACTTTTGTAAGTATATTATTTTGTCTTGGATATAATATTCCTCAAAAATCTCTATTCTCTGTATTTCAGATCCTTCCTGATATTGACATTTGGGTTTTAATCTGATCTATACACTAAATAAAACGGCTGTCTCTATTCCTATTTTCTTCAATTTTTCAATATAATTCATCCTTTTTCAATACCAGTTCTTCTCATAATTTTGTCAAAGAATAAAATTTAAGTATTTGGCTGTTATTTATGATCTATAGATAATTTTGAGGCTTATATTCTAAGCTCCTGTATTATAGAAACATTTATTCTTTGGTCTGTCCATGAAATTCGTAAAAATTTTCTATATGTGGCAATTTATAATACTTCTATTACGTCATTACAATTAATTTAGATTCCATGATTCAGAGCCATATTACATATTATGTATTAGGCACAACTTTGTTCTTTTCCTGATATCATCATATCCATATTTTTACAAGTTTGATTGTCGTACTTTTACCCATATCTACTCTTCGTTTGATTTCCTCTTTCGAACACCCCCTATATTTGATAAAAATGTGCCTATAGATATATTATATTGTCTTTACAATTTATATCGAGTGTAAAATCAAACAAAAAATACAACGTTTTTGACCTATCAATAGCCATTATTGAGCATTTTGATCTATTAAGTTTCAAGGTCTACCTCGTTGAAAAATTTTTCTACTTGTTCTATAAAATTAGTCCTTTTTTTTTACTAAAAACACCGTATCATTGGCGTATCTTAGATTTGAAATTGTCTTAACACCAATGAACACTCTTCTACTTCATTCTTGCGTAACTTGTCTCGTTTTTCATTCCCCAAATTTATTAAAAAATAATAGTAATACTATGCAGCTCTGTCATACGCTTTGTCCTATTTGAAAACATGATCTTGGTTATTGACATATATAATTTTAAATTTTAATTATTACTATAATGTGCTTGGGAACTCCCATTTCTTTTAGAATGAGCCTCAAAGAATTCCATTAAATAGTATCAAAGGTATATTCATAATATTTTTCATTAACTGTCGGATATTAATTATGAAAGTTGATTTCTCGTTCCTCTTACCGATCGTGATTTTTCTCGAGAAATTTGTGAAAACAGATATGGTTTTAACTTTTCTTGTATCTTATTCAGCATGCTCTTACTTATATGGGAATCATAGCTATAGTACGATAGATATTGAAATTTTCTTTGTTGCTCTTTTTATGGATAGTGATGTTTATTGATTCATACTATTTCTTTGTCCATTCACCTGTGATTCATATCTTGGAAAAAATAATATGAATTATATTATCATCTCCCTTTTCTGCAGTTGTTCAAATAATTTCAGCTACAATAGAATCTCAACCAGCAACTTTATGGTTGTATAATCTTTTAAGAACATCTCACTTTCACTGCGTATTAAAGGTGGTTCAGATTCGTCTCTTATATATACTCGTATTTGATTCATCGTATTCGTATTATTAGAGACTATACTTTTCTTGCAATACTGCGACCATCTTTTAGTTACTTCCTACTTTGTTGATAGTATTGAGCCATTTTCGTCTTTAATAGGTAGATATCTGGGTTTAAAACTTCAAAAAAAACTGCTACTTTTTTTAAAAAGAAACCTAAGATCTTAATTATTTCATGTTGTTAATTTCTTTGCATATTGAGTTTATAAGTTGATCTTTTTTTCGTAAAACTTGGTTTATCATTCGGCATAGATTTTTGTATTCTGTTAATAAACAATTTTCTCTGATATCTTTTATTTTTGTTTGTTTTCGTTTTTTAATTATTTCCCATTTATAATGTGAGATCTATAGATTTCTCGGTACATCAATACAAAATGTCTGTTTAAAAAATGTTAGAACTACGTTCTTAAATAATTACCACAGTTTTTCTACATTTTTTTATTTTGTTTTCTTCAAGCATCATAATACCTTGTATTGCTAGATTAACTTTTAGTTTATATTTATCGAGTGCTGCTTCTGTGGAACAAATTTCTGCAACTAGATAATTACGATCGTTACCATAGTCTATGCCAGAATCAAGTTTAATGTCTTTAATATAGGATTTATATCTGTTCCTTACCAGTACATAGTTAATTTGATTTCTTTATTGACCACCTTGACACTGCACGTGTCTGATACTGTCGTCGAATATGATATTTAATATTTGTGTCTGTAATAAATGGTTATTTTCTATACAGAAGTCTAGAATTCAATCTCTTCACTCATTTCTTACACCTATCCCATATTTTCCTATTACAAATCTCAAATGACCCTCGTTGATAGTGATGACTATTTTTGTACGTATTAAGGTACATCAGTCACAAACAGTAGTTCTTTAGTTATAAAATAGTTTTAACTACTTTGGTTTACTGTTTGTAAAAGTAATAAATGTTTTCTTCAAACGATGTAGATGTTGGAACGTAGACTTAGATAATATTGATATTTACTGGCGTAGCTTGGAATTTTTCAGACATTATTCTATCACTAAAAGTATTATAGCCTAGGACTATGTTTGTTATATCCTTGTTTACAATTATGGTTACGCCATTTATGGAGTCATTTTCATTACTTAAAAACAACAAAGTGACCATAGGTAGTGTATTCTAGGTTGACATATTTCATAAGTTATTGGCAAATAATTTAAATAAGTATCTAATCTTTACACTAGAGCAAACCCAAATTTCTCGAAATAAAAACGATATTTAAATATATTTTCAATCAATACTCAATATTTATTTTTTATACGTTAATTTTTTGTGTAATATAATACAATATCATTATATTTGAATGATATCTAGGTAAGTTACAATAAATAATTCTAATTTAAAAATATAATCATTAGATGAGATTATATTAAATTTTAATTGTATAGTATTTAAATTAATCTAATACTATGGTTTTATTATATTGTATAACAAACATAATTTTAATTTTTTTTTTAATTATGTCAACTTGTTTTAAATGTTGAAGTAACGATCGTAAAGCGTTTATGTGTACTATTTTTTAATCGCTTACTAAAGCTAAAAGTTATAATGGTTTGATGAGTAATTGCAATGATGTACATTACAATAACGATTACATTTATTTTTGTTGACAATTTTACGGATCTATAAAAGCAATCTCATTACATTTATTTTTATCCATTTGTTTTTATGATCTTTTCTATGTTTCTGAATATTGTTTCCGTTTCTAAATAGCCTGAAAAAAATTCCAAAATTTTCACTCATTATATTAATCACTATCATCATTGTTTGTTTCGGCTCTCAACTTTATTTTTTATGACGACGTCTTATAATTATAGCCAAGTATAACTATTTGTCATTGTCAACAATTAATAAAAAAAATTATTTTATTTAGTCCCTAATATTGCAGGCTGTCAAATAATTTTTCAAAAATATTTTACTGAACTCAAATGAGGTTTTTCTACGATTGTTTATACTTTACAAAACAACCAAATAATAAATTATTTTACTCTAATATTGAAATCAACAATTAATTGTTAACAATTACAGAAATGTTGAACTAACGTTTCAATAACAAATCTTTTATTTTCAAATGCAATTGAGACTATAAATATAATATTAAATAATACCTATATATTTCAGTGTGTTGTTTAGTATCTACTAATGAATATAATAGACTATTACTAAGCCTTATATTAAGTAGTTGTCACACGAGTGGTCTGTCTGAAAAAACTCAATTAGATTGAAGTCCCCAGTGCGTGTAAATTTTGTGAACTCGTAGATTTTTTGACATTATTACACTTTCGTACACTTAACTAAAATATGTTGATTTTCTATGATACTTACACATTTAAAAATTTTTAACGGCCCATAATTTGATAATTTTTTAAATCATGAACTATCTTTATTTGATGTTTTTCTTTTTTTTTACTTTCTGAGCAGAAAAAAGATACTGTATATTAGCAAATTATCTTACCTAATATTCTATATGATAACGAATTTTTATGGCATAAGATTGTTTAGTATGGAACTTATTTAATATAATATAATTAATAAACATCAGCATCGGTCGATTAATATTTATTACAAATCAATTTAATTTTAAGAAATTATTGAAATATTATTTAAATTGAATACAAGAATAGAAATTAAATGTATAATCTTTTCAATTTATCGACTTTATCGGTGTAAAAAATCAATAAATTACATTCAAACCGATAAAAATGGAATGATGTGAAATTTTACACTCGTGCGGATAATAATGAATAGAAAATAAAAATAAAGTATAATAATAATATTATTATAATACTAAATATACAGCACTTTATAATTATTACTTAAAATAAAATTTATTTTAATATTTTAAAGCATAAAAATGGTGCATGGAACTATTAAATTTATATTTAAATATTATCATTTAATTCTTTTGTTTATATTTAATACCAAAACATTCACTGTTGAAAAAATTACTTAGTTTATAACAATTAATGCTAAATTGTAAGAATTTAATTTAATATAATTCAAATAAAAAAAAATTAAAATATACAAATAAAACAAAGATTAAACGCATAAATATAATACTTATCTTTGAGTAATTAAAATATTACATAACTAAAATAATTATTTTTTTAGAAATGTTTAAAATAAAAAATTATAGCTGGCGTTAAACGATTGATTTCGACATTCTACTTGAAAACAAAATGTTTACTAATCATAATTGAAATCGCTCTTCAAAATAAAATAAAAAAAATTAAATATATAGTTCTGAATAAAATATAATAATATCATGAATGTACTATTTTTGTGTGTTTGTTGTTTTTGTTTATTATCGTAACCATCAGTAATTGCGATTTGAAAAATAGTCAAGAGGAAATGGAGGAAATTTCGAAAGCACCAGTACCATCAACTTCATCGGCCACTGCAACTACTTCACCAGTTATCCGACAAAAACGACTCCGTGCACCCATATGGGCAAGGTTGTTAAACATTATATTAATATAGTCATTATTTACCTTAAAAAATGTGTGTGGCTTTAGCTAGATGTACCTATTCCATACGCGCATGTGTTAATCGGCATTTTCTAAATGCTGATATGTTTTAATTCGTCAGCATTACTTTGATTTCCGCATGCGATTTATTTAGTAGCCTTAAATAGTCAGAAATATTTTGTTAATGGACCTATATAATATTTTTTTATATTATTTGTTTATAAGATATTTATTTACCAATACATACCCAAGCCACATTGAAAGAAGGTTATCATGATTTTTTATTATTGGTTCTAAGCATAGGTATTATCAGAATAATAAGTAAATTTCATGATACATTTAAACTTTAAAGTTATTGAGTATACCTACCAATAATTATTTAAATAATGATAATAAGACATAGTATTATGTGTAGGTGAGATACAGTTTTTAATTATTAAAATAATTTTGTCACTTCATATACTGTTGTTACTTATTTTAAACGATATAGTTCTTCACTTATAACGATGAGTTTATCAAATGGTATAATTTTCTTGGCAAAATTATTTTGACTACAATCTAAAATTAAAATATTCTTCTTTTTTTTCTTTCAGCAGAATTGTATAAATACTTTATTGAAACGTATGAACTTTAGAGTATGAATGCAATAATTATTTTGAATCTATTTTAAAAATGATATAAATAATAATTTTTTTTTAAAAGACTTCGGGTTCTATAATTTAGTATCATGTATTGCAGACATTTTCATGAAATTTGAATCGTGCGTGTTTAAATAAAATCAACAATTTAAATACAGTGTTAAAATGGTTTTTCCTTGTTTAAATATATTTTATTATATATATATATAATTTAAATAGGTGACAGGTATAAATAAAATAATGTTAACAAAATCATATTTTTTAATTTATTTCATTAAGTTTGATTTCGAAAAAAAATTTATTTTTTTCAATAACAATATAAATAAGCAACTAAAAATAGATGCATAATATTTTCATTTTCCATTATATTACCAAAGAAAACATAAACGAAAGTAGCAAAAATAACCTATACACCATTAGCTTCCATGTGAAATAAAATACATACATACATTGAGATGTATACGTTTACATTATACACATTAATCAGTTGAAAGTTTGTAATTAACTAATCATCTCAAAAATATCCCATACAAGTAATCCGATCGCCATACATTAAACATTATTTTTATGAAACATAATAATTGTTAGCGTCAGTTTTTGTTTTAATCCCAAATGAATAACACTTGTGTGGTATTTAATCTGCCGATAGCGAGTGGCAACTTACAAGACTTAACATTTTAGTTGGTAATATAACTATCTCATACTTTCATTATATTAGTATTTCGTACAAGTTAATAAAAAAAATAAGAATAATTTATTATGAGTAGTTCCAACGTAACCGCCTTAAATATATCATTCTGCACATTATTGTAGTCTAAATAACTTATCAAACTAATAAAACATAAACACTCAAACTACAAAATAAATAATAGGTTCACTAAAAGAACACACCAATTTAAGACTACTTTCACATGTCTTATTTTAAAAAATGAATATAACTGATTTTATATATTTGATCTATGGCATTAAACAAACAATATCATCATAATTGTTTACACATTATATTTGCAGAATTATAGAAATATTCAAAATATACACCAAGTCCTTTTAATAAATAACGTATTTAAAAATTTTACCTGATAAATTAAATTAAAAAAAAAAATAGTTTCACCTCCTTCCATCTATCAGCCATAAATAATCAAACACTACTCTTGGCTATACACATACATTGTATAACAAAAATATTTTAAAACCTATATAAAAACGTTAACTTAATTCGTCACTAATAATAATTAAGCTAAAGTTAAATAATTTCAATTTGATAAGTTCTTATACCTTCTAACAATTAACAAGCTAATAATTAAAATATATTGAAATCTATTTGAATCGATTACCATTTTGTTTGATTTTCTTCCTCAACTACTGTAGCTATATTTCTCTTTCGAAAATATACACAATACCGCTTTTATTTTCGAGAATATCAATATCTCAATCTCCTTAATATACTGACACGGGACATAACAACAGCAATTCACAATCAATAATCAATTAATACATAGTGCAAGACAAAAATCACAGAAATATAAAAATTAATAATAAACCATTTAATGTCAACTACCCCTAAATAAATCTGTACCGTCTTCATATAAATCTACCGTCGTGTTCATACATTATTCAAGTATAGATAAAAAAAAAAAATAATAGTCATACTTATACTTAAACAGTATTCTGAAGATAGTTTATTTTAAATATTTTTAAATACTTAATCATATACACAAAGTATTTAAAACTATATTTTTAAATAATAATACAATAATATGTTTAAAGCATTTATTATTCCTTTAAATAAATACTAAATTATTATTTTATTAATTTTCGTTATTTTAATAATAGATATAATAAACTAACTGCATATGTCAACACTTAAAAATAGATACTAATAATAATATCAGGATTTTTTTAAAGAGAAATCGTTTTTAAAAAGTTCAATGTAGGCAATATTCTAAAAGTATACGTGCATGTCATGAAAATGTGTGCGTAGTGATGATTAGGTATACGAGTATTACTGTAATAGGAAAGCGAACCAGTAAATCCACCCTCATGCACGTGTCGATAACGGGCAACATGAATATTAAATATTTTGTTATTTTCTACTTAAAAAAAAAAAAAGTATCAATATTTTGCCCAACTGAATTAACTTTAACCTAGTTTTAAAACTAAAAACTAAAAAAGTTCTGTAAACATTTGAATTCATCATGAAGTTTACTTTAAATAAACTTTTTTACATGTTTAAATTAATCATATTGGTCCAATGTTATAAACATAAGAGAGTACTTAATATTCAAAATATGAAAAAATATTTTTTCAGAGTTTTAGAGTTTAATTTCAAAAAAAAAAAAGGGAAAAATAATCAATTTCATAACTAATCGAAATAGATTTTTTGAAGTTTTTTTTAAAATACTGGAATAATCGGTACAATCGGAGTAAGATTAATCTATTTCAACAGAAAACACAACCAAAACTAGTTATAGTTTTTGTGTTGATTGTAACTTTAATATTATATATCATGATTAAGGCTTTATAACTTTAATAATTGAATATTAAAACATGAATTAATATGAATAATTAATTTTATGAAACATAATACTTATAATAAAATAACAATCATACCTTAATTTATATGATGATAAAAATTCACACTTTTAAACATGCTTGAATAAAAAAATTAAATTTTTACCTAGTATGGTTATATTTAAATTATTACCGAAATAAAAATGAACTAAATACTACTTTAAATAATTAATCTGTTAAACGGGGGCAAAAAAATATTTTGGAAATACTATTTTGGTAATTTATTCAAATTGTAATTCCAAACAATTTTAAATAGAATTTTTCCCATGTATGGTGATATCTGATACTCTATAAAAAAAATTAACAAAAGCAGCTTAAAACAAAAATTTGCTCTGGATAATATTATTCGAGTCAAACTCGTGATAAACTCAATTAACTACTTCCATTTATTGTATCAATATACTCATGGAATATAAGATTCACATAGGTAATTGAAATACATTCTCAAACACTACAAATAAAAAATATAACAATCATAAATTTCGCAAGAATATCAATAATTATAGTTTAGTTTCTAAAGATTGGTAGTTTGATGCTTAAGTCCAACTCCAAAACAGCATAAAAATTCACATAACTCCAATTTCATTTTTTGAATTTACAATTTTCACAAATTTACAATTAATTTTCATGAACATTTTTCAAAAACACTCAAGAACAAATTTTTGTATAACCTAACCTAACCTAACCTAAAATGTATAGCTAACTAATTTATTTTTAGTGTTTTGTTTCAAGTGTAATTTAAATGTGTGGATCCCAAAAATTAAAACAGTAATTTAATATAAACATTCTGTTAATAAATTTCCTTAACAATACAAAATAAAAGTAATACTAAAAAAAAATATTATTATCTAAAACTACAATAAAACAATTTGGCTTGAAATTTTTTTTAAACCAGATAATAGTGGTGTTTAAATTAAATATGGCACTACTACATGTTTACACCTTTAATAGGTTGTCCTAGATTATTACTCATGCATAAATAATGTTAGGTTTTTTTGTGTGCAAATAATCAATATTCAAATAAAACTTCGATACATAACAATTTTAAGTGCATACAGTATTGGAAAAAATCTATAAAAATTTAATGCTAGTGATAATTTTTTACTTAAAAAAATTTCATTTTTAAAAATAATAATTTATACGTTTATAATTATATCCAAATCCAACTGTTTTAATCATAAAATTTATTTTTTTATCTATCTAGCTCATATAAATATGCTCTATTTCTAAACACCACAAAATTACTAAAAACACTACTACTAATATCCATATTAATTAATATCCGAAAACAAAAATTTTATATCATAAGATCTAAAAAATATATTCACAATTTACGTTGATATACATGGTTCTCGTGTAATTTTGCATTAAACATAATATCCTCACAACACACATTTACCAAGTTTATTACAAGAGGATACAACGACGTGTTCGACAATTAGAAAAAAAACCATCCGTACTTAATAATTTTCTTTCGGACACTTTGTTCCCCCCTCCTGATGATGCCATTAGACATTCGAACATATAATTAAGCTGTCAGAATATAAAATATGATGAGCTGCAACCAACGCAACAAGTGTAGACAAAAGTGTATTTGACATAAAATCTTTATACGCACAATATACACGAAATATATTTATACATTCAATACATTTTGAACTATACAATTAAAAAAACGAAAATGTCGGCTCTACTGTATAAGCAGGTGTCGAGTGTACCCTCTAGTCATTTGATAATTTTATTATAAAGGGTATGAACAATTATTAAAAATAAATGATA